AAATAAAAATAAAAAGGAGAGATTCTCCCCCAAATCCAAGACTTTAATAGTCCTAAAGTCAATATAACTTCTCAATAAAACGCATTATCCATGAAATTTTGTATAAAATATATACTTCACATGTACATACAAACCAAAACCACAAATATGCACTCACAACAATATACATTTTTCATAGGACCATAGAGAAAGCTCAAATTCTCTGGTTATTAGCTTAGACTTGTTTCATATAAAAATATTAAACTCCAGCATTTTGACCTAGTTAGATAAAATTTGTTATGGAATTACAATTTTTCTACTTTGTAAATATCTACTTTTTGATTGCCTTAGGTCAGGTTTTAAAACTACATGCATATTCATAGCTATAATATTTTGTCACAATACTAAAAATGATATTATATGAAGTTGATTTTTTTAAGTTTGCAAAAACATTCATGAGAAATGAATATAGCTCAACCCAGATCTTGATATTTAGATATAATTTTCCTGATTTTTTTGACATCACATAAGTACAAATATCAATATTTACACATACTATATGTATATAGTATGTTTTATACATTCATGTAAAGCATCATTAAAATAACAGATTTCTGTGGGCACCAGGGTGGCTCAGTTGGTAAAGCATCTGCCTGTGGCTCAGGATCCTGGGATTGAGCCCCAGGGCTGGCTCCCTGCTCAGCAGAGGTCTGCTTCTCCCTCTGCCCCTCCCCACACTCGTGCTCACTCTCAAATAAAAAATAAAATCTTTAAAATAAGATTTTTAAAAGCATACTAAATAATGCTATACAAGATGAAAATAAAATTTCATTGTGTAGGTCTTTAAAATTCTATAGTATTTGAAAAGGAATATCATATTTTTAGCTAGTGATGGAAAAATTTCCAGATGGTAAAAATGTGAATGATAAAAATAGACAAATTGAAATTAGAACTGTGATGGATTAATTTCCTTTTGGTTGTCCTTATGTTGTTTATATTCATGCCAGGTACATGAGCCAATAGTCTCGAACAACACCTTCAGTAAAGAAAAGGAAAGGAAGATTTCTAAAGTAGTTTTCAATAACGTTTGCAATTTGAAAATTAAAATAACTATCCACACACACACACACACAAAATCTTGGTTTCCTTGCCATGTTTGATTTTCAAAATGTGTGCCTTAAATTTTAAAAGCCCTTCCCTCCACACACTTTTGGATGTAAGTGCATATTAGATGAGTACTGGAAATAATGTGGTTAAAGGTGAAGCT